TGCAATACTGCAAGAACTTTTAATGCACTTAGAGGGTAAAGTGTCTCCACATAGAACAAAATACCCTAACCTGGCTAGAGCTAGAACCCAGACCTCTTGATTTTAAAGTCTACCTCACTAAACACAGGACCAACAATTTATCCAAATGCATCAATTGAATCAACTTACCTTGATATTTCATACCACTGACCACAGTTCCGTCGACCTTAACTGATCTTTTATGCCATGACACAGGAGATATGGAGGGCTCTTTAAGGCAGATCCTTGCTACATTTACAGTGGTCAGGACAACCAAATTTGAACTGAAGAAAATTTCAATTGAACTTTTACGGAAAGGAATAATCTGTTGCATAACACGCACACCTCTCAAACCTGGAAGATGAGCAAAAAGCATATAATCCCATTATTTAATACCATGTACCATTGTTCAAGGTCATTTTTTCAATTGCGAGGGTAAATGAAATAATAATCCCCCTGTGGGGCTTCAAAGGATTCCAGAGGGGTGTTGTCAAGGGGGACTAATGTAAGGGAGGGGCTTATCTGAGGGGAGGGATCATTGGAAAAGGAGAACAGTGTAAAAACTAATAGCTCTAAAGTAAGGGGGTTAGTAGAGAGGGGGGCTTGATAGAAACTTGAAGTCCTAGATTATGGGCATTGATAGAGAGGGGGAGCTTTTTTAAAACTTGAAGCCCCAGACTAAGAGTGTTATTAAAGAGTGTTATTAAATGAGGGAGGAGGGAGAGGTGTTGGAAGAAACTTGTAGCTCTATCCTAAGGGGGGTTATTAGAGGGGAAGACTTGGTAGAAATATGTAGCTCTTAATACTAAAGAGGTTATGAGAGAAGAAGCTTTGGAAGAAAGTTGACACCCCAGACTATGGGGTTATTAAAAGGAGGAGGGGAGGACTTGGTAGAAACTTGTAGCCCTAGACTTAGGGGGTTATTATGAGGGGCAGGGGCTTAGTAGAAGGAGGAGGCTTGGTAGAAACTTGTAGCCGCAGACTAAGGCAGGTTAATATGAGGGGAGGGGGCTTGGTAGAAACGTGAAGTTCCAGACTAAGGGGGGTTATTAGAAGGGGGAGGGCTTAGTAGACACTTGTAGCTCCAGACCAAGGAGGTTGTTAGAGAGGAAGCTTTTTAAATCAATTTGTAGCTTTTCAATAGGATGATCATCAGAGAGGGGGCTTATTAGAAACTTGAAGCTATAAACAGGGGGGTGGGGTAATCAAAGAGGGGATTGTTAGAAGCTTGAACCTCTACACAAGGAGCTTATTAGAGAAAACGGCTCATCAGAGAGGGAGGGTAATGAGAATTTACCATGAATCTAATCAACGATTAAAAGACTGAGAACTTTCAATCTTTAGCCTTGGAAAGCAATACTTCTAAAATGATATACTTCAGCTTCTAACCTGTGTTTGCAACTGGGTTATACACAGTAAGCTGAAACTTCCCATTTCCTGCAGTGTTTCGATCTGTTGTTTGGGCAGAAAAGGATTTGTATTTCTCTGTTGTATCAGCTGAGCTGCAATCTCCATCTTTCTCACAGTGACCTCAATGAAAAAAGTAGAACAATTTAATAAAGTAATTGTTATGTTTTTGAT